AGTCAGTGTGTGTGGGACTGTACCCCAGTGAGAGTCAGTGTGTGTGGGAGTCGTATCCCAGTGAGAGTCAGTGTGTGTGGGAGTCGTATCCCAGTGAGGGTCAGTGTGTGTGGGGCTGTACACCAACTATGATTTAATCATTTTCTCCCTTCATTTTAGCTGGGAAAAGTCTATGGGATTGAGTCATTTGTGCTGTCCCCGGCAGAAACGAAGGATCTTTATCCCTTGATGAATGTGAATGATCTCTATGGTACACTCTATGTGCCCACTGATGGTACCATGGACCCAGCCGGAACCTGTTCCACCTTGGCCCGAGCTGCCACAGCTCGAGGTGCATCGGTGAGTTAATTGCTCTCCATTAGAGTAAATCCTCTTTGGCTTGAAGGTGATGTTGGGTTTCTGCCATCTGGTAATAGGCCCTAACTCTATGACAACATGTTCCTAGTCTTCAGATTTTATCTTTCTCTTTTACATTGTGTGATTATGGACTGAATTGGGAACAGGACTGTTTTCCAACAAAGGGCTAAGGGGGGAAATGCTACTTTTTGAAAAAGCAAGTTCCTGAACCTCAGTGTAAGTTGTGGTTAGTTTGTTGCTTTAGAAGCAGTGGAGGGAGGGGGAAATAGACCACATGGCACCAGGATGTGAATAAGATCCGATTTAGCCTTCTTGAATGGTTGCAATCCATGGAGTATTGGAGGCCCATAGTGCTATTAAGGAGAGCACTTTCTTTAGTCTAGAAATCACCCAAAGATGCTTCACAGGAGCAAAAACGGAACCTGAGCCACAACAGGGATCCACGCTGCTTCACTTCACCAGCTTGGGAGCGTGGGAATTGAGCAGTCCCTGGGAAAGACTGTGTTAGGTGTTTAGTAATAGAGGAAGTGTTACAGCTTGGGGAGCAAGGGGTCAGAGCGAGGGGCCACTGTCAGAGCGAGGGGTCACTGTCAGAACGAGGGGTCACTGTCAGGGAGATGAGGCACTGTCAGGGAGATGAGGCACTGTCAGAGCGAGGGGGTCACTGTCAGAGCGAAGGGGCCATTGTCAGAGCGAGGGGGTCACTGTCAGAGCGAAGGGGCCATTGTCAGAGCGAGGGGTCACTGTCAGAGCGAGGGGTCACCGTCAGGGAGACAGGATAGTGTCAGGGAGACGGGATAGTGTCAGGGAGACGGGATACTGTCAGGGAGACGGGATAGTGTCAGGGAGACGGGATACTGTCAGGGAGACGGGATACTGTCAGGGAGACGGGATAGTGTCAGGGTGACGGGATAGTGTCAGGGAGACGGGATAGTGTCAGGGAGACGGGATACTGTCAGGGAGACGGGATAGTGTCAGGGAGATGGACATTGTCGGGTTGGAAATGATGAACCCCAAGGCTCCAGTTGTATCCTCAATATCTCAGACCAGTTTGATCTGGGAACAGGAATCATACTGTTACAATGTACTAAGGACTCAAATATAGGAGATTTGGGGAACTGATTAAGAAATTTCATAAGGCATAGACAACAGAACAGACCAGGGGGACTGAGATTAAAAGAATTGAATTTGTTCACTATAGAGTTGCTGTAACCTGACGGAATAGTACAGAAGGTAGGACGGGCTGATTGGCCTCCTCTGCAACTCAATGTGGTCCTGGGAAAGCTGCGCTGTTCATTTAATCACACAACGATTGAATCTGAAAAAAAAAAGTTCTAAAAAAACGTTTTAGCTGCGAATCCATTTAGACATTGGCAGGCTCAGGATTGTTCCTGATTACTGCACTGAGAAGTGTAAATGGAGAAAATCTCATCATATTTTTCTCTTTGCCTTTTAGTGATTTAACCATCTCAGATATAACGGTCAGGGGTCATGGGACAGTGGTCAGAGGTTAGATTTCTCTCTGTGCTCTGGTAACTGACACTTGCTGTTTCTCCATCCTTTCATTCAGGTGATTGAGAACTGTCCAGTGACAGGGATCCAGGTGAAGGTCGATCATTACGGGGTCAGGCGGGTCACGGGGGTACAGACTGATTGTGGAACAATACAGACTACTTGTGTGATTAACTGTGCAGGTGAGATAAAGCAAACACCAGGAACAGAGCTGCAGTTAGCCGTGAAAGTACTGAGGGTATTCATACGTGCTGTAGTTTCTACCAGTCATTGCTGGGATACAGGGGGACAGAAATGAAGTGGAACCCTGGAAGATACAGGTTCTAAATCTCCACAGCACTAACTGCATCACACACAAATTAAACCTCCCATCAGAAGATTTCAAAATGCTTCACAGCCAATTAAAAACTTCAGAAAAGTGTCATTTGACAATCTACAGAAAAATGCCAGCCCATTTGTGCATAGCAAGATCTCACAAACATGTAGTACTGACACTCCGACAGTACGGCTCTCCCTCAGCGCTGACCCTCCGACAGTGCGGCACTCCCTCAGCGCTGACCCTCCGACAGTGCGGCACTCCCTCAGCACTGACCCTCCGACAGTGCGGCGCTCCCTCAGCACTGACCCTCCAACAGTGCGGCGCTCCCTCAGCACTGACCCTCCAACAGTGTGGCGCTCCCTCAGCACTGACACTCCGACAGTGCGGCGCTCCCTCAGCACTGACCCTCCAACAGTGCGGCGCTCACTCAGTACTGACCCTCTGACAGTGCGGCACTCCTTTGGTACTGACGCTCTGTCAGCATTGACCCTCTGACACTCCGTTAGTACTGCAGTGTGGGTATCAGCCTGGATTAAGTGACTGTGTGGCAGTTATTGATCCCGTGAAGCTTCAGTGTGATGGTCAGGACTCCCTGACCTTCAGAGTGCACATTAAAATGTAGATCCAACTTGGATGAAATAAAGAAAAATTGGTTAAGGGAGGTGGAGCAGGTTGAGTAACCTGGATTGGACAAATACCTTGATCAGTGTTGAATTGCAGCATGTCCTGAATGGGCAGAGTGGCCTGTCTCTGTGTTGTAATCTTGGTGCATTACTGCTTAAGGTTCCATGTTTGAGACCACCTCATTGGAAGTGAGGAAAGGTGCTGTTTGCAGTGTGGCCAGCAGAGAGCAGTGTTTACCATGATTGCTGTGTTGCTGACTGACTCTGTTCTGTTCAGGTGTGTGGGCTCGGGCACTGGGGGAAATGGCAGGAGTCAATGTCCCACTCATTGGCATGCGCCACGCATATGTGGTGACAGAGCGAATTGAAGGAATCCAGGTAAGTGCCGGTGCTACGAGCAGGGTGAGGGACTGTGTGGAGTTAGTCCTGTGTGGTTTGTAGTGTCTGGATCCAGCTCCAAATGTGTTGACATGTTGTATCTAGAGCAGAACCAGCTGCTTCTTCCAACCCAACTTGCCTCCTCTGAGGACACTGACTTTGCTTGGGATATGGAATCCACTAGTTGGTCCATCACTCTGCATGCACCAATGTCCATGTAACTGTGGGTGGCATCGCAGCTAATCAGACCCTATCCTGAATCAACATGGAACACATTTAACAGCAGGTTTCATTCGGCAGTGAGCAGAATGCCCGTAGTTACTGTTATTAGCCCTTTCTAACTGTGTAAAAGTCAGACTTGCATTTCCACATTGCAGCTTGTCTCCTTGTGAAATCCCACAGACAGTGCTGTGATTGTGAACTTATGATGCAGGTATTGCCATTACCCTCCAGCTCCTTCAGTGAGGCAGAACCACCCTCATCTGTCACAGACTGGCTTTAGATAGAGAGAAACT